ATCCCCCAAATTGCAGTTGCCCCAAATTGCAATTCTTTCTTCCCAAATAAGACATTAAATTTGGAGATTCCTCTCTACATTTTAATTTTGACTTTGATAGGCTCTTTGTATTAATATTTCACATTTTACCATTCCACATCAATTCCTCTGTTTGTTGGGTATAGTTAAATATTTAAAAATCAAAAATCCAATCCTTTAAAAAAAATCCAAGAAATAAATTAGCAGTGTGATACAAAGATGAGTCACTAATTCAAAATTCAATCCTCTTAGACAGTGTCTGCCAGAGCTAAGAAGAGTGCCTGGGTGTATCGGGAGCCCAGCGCTTGCTGCCTGCCAGCATTGTTAGGTTTCTAAGTTATGAAAATGCCCATTGTCATTTTCACATTTGCTACCAGATGTTGTCACCTGAACCTTACCCATGCCCACGCAAACATTGTGTAGCTCTCAGCCAAGTTGACAATCACAACTCCATCAATATGATATGATGGGAATCTTTCAATTTTAGTTATTATTTTGATTCTCCCATCCAAATTTTCTATTTTATGATATTTCATACTATAAATACGAGCCTGTTCTCTAAATCTCTGGGCATATCTAAACTTCTCATATCTTTGAAGGGTGGTAAATTCTAATCAGTTTGGGGAATTTGCTCATGTTGTCATTTATTTGACAAATGCTTTCTCTGGAAAGGTCACTTTATGTGGTTCTGATTTCTCTCTTTTCTAAATGCCTTTGATAAACTTAAGCATGTTTTATAGTTAACCATACCAAATATCATCGTAATAGGCAACAGACAAATGAAAAACAAATACTTCATTCTTTCAATCAGAGATCAGCAAACTTTTTCTGTGAAGGGCCAGATAGTAAATAGTTGAGGCTTTATAAGCCTCTGTCACAACAATTCAGTTTTGTTGTTATAGTGGGAAAGCAGCCCTTGACCAGGCCTAAAGGAACGAGCACGGTTGTGTTCCAATAAAACTTCATTTTGGATGTGTATTACAGACACTGAACCTGGTTTGGTTGCAGTTTGTCCAGTGGGATTATTTTCCCCTTAATGCAACCTAATTTTCTAATATAACACTCAGTATTACACATTGAAGAGTGAGAGATCTATAGTTTGTCAGTTTGGCATATTTTAAAGGAAATACATGTGTGATGAAATCACTTTGAAAGGAGTGTCTAGAAGAACTATTTTGTATAAAATGTTAAAAATTCAATGAAAAAGGACAGCATTTTAGACAAATGAAGGGCTGGAAAAGTTTGGGGAACTGTGACCATTATTTGAAATGACCTCTTCATTTCTTGCATTGTTTATTGCTGACACTTCGGCTCACCTTGACAAGGATTTGTGAGAGATGACTGCACTCATTGCATATATTCATTCATGCAGAATATTTTTGATACTGCTACTAGCATTTTTAAATGAATTAAACTATAATTTTGATAATTTTCAATAAAATTTTTGACTTAGCTTTTTTCCAAGGGAATGGGGGTCTTCGTGTTATAATAAATGTTTCCTTTTTGATTTGTAATTCTGAAGGAGATATTTGTCTTTGAATCTGACACCCAGGAGACAGGCAGCAGGTACAGCACAATCTCTTCCATCCTCACAGTTCTGGTGAGCAGAGGCAAAAGTTTAGATGCTGGGTTGTGGCCTTGGCTGTTTCTGCCAAAGCTCCCCCAGAAGTAAGCCGCCAGCTGTGTGGTGGCCTTGGAGGCCCGCACCACTGCACCGAGGCCAACCCTTCCCTCTAGGATCTTACTCCTGGGCCCACGGTCCTGGCCCTTCCTTGCACTCGTGTGACTGCCGAGGTCCCCAGCCAGCCTGTTGTTCTCACCACACTTACATCAGGGCCCCTTGCTCCACGTCTTCCCATGAGCTAGAAAATCACCGCTGTGACAGCCAAGCTCAGGACTTTTCTTCTCATGAGAAGGGACTGCCCACCTCACAAGAGGTGTGCCACATGGTCACCAGTCAAGATGTGGAAGAACAGAGGTCAAAAACCATGGCGAGATGCCAACCTTCAGATAAGCAGGCCCAACCTTAAACACGCAGCAGAACCTTTATGTTGAGTAACTTCAGGTCAAAAATGAAATTTGCAGGCACAGTGGCTCATGCCTATAATCTCAGCACTTTTGGAGGCTGAGGTAGGAGGATCACTTGAGCCCAGAAGTTAGAGGTTGAAGTGAGCTATGATCACACCATTGTACTCTAGCCTGGGTGACAGAGTGAGACTCTGTCTCTAAAAAAGATAATAATTATCTTAAAAATAATAAATTATCTTAAAAATAAAAATTATCTTAAAAATAATAATAATTATCTTAAAAACTACATTTTTTCCTTGTTGTTGAAAGTACTGAGACATTCATGAAATGTCTGTTGTTTGACTGAAAAAAGTTTTATGGAAAGGCGAGACAAAGACATTTAGGAACTTTCATCTTTGAGTGAAATGTTTTCCAGTGAAAGATGGCATGCAGAAAAGGGCTTTGGAGCGTTGCTGGCGGGCTGATCCTGGGATATCCAGGAATTTTGAACAAGCATCAGCACTGAAGCTCTGACCCCACTGTGGTGTCAGAGAGGCTGCCTGCTGGCCACTCAGGGAGCACTTTCCCAGAAATTGCCTCTTTGGTGGGATCGCTACTCCAGAGTAGTGTCTGCAGTTATTTTCCATGGACTCATGGTTATAAACTCAAGATAACCAAACTCTCAAGATACTGATGTATAACACTAATTTCTTAATTGCCAGTGAATAAAAAGACCAGAAGCTCAGAGAATGTGCTGAGGAGCAGAACTCAATACGTGAAGTCAGTTATTCTCAGGAGGCCGCTCAAGAACGGAGAAGAGGGGTGCATGAGCTCCTTAAAGGCATCTTGCCAGACGGAAGCCTTAGGAAGCGTCCATGAATCAAAACTGGGCGCAGTGTTCTGTGTTCTGTGGTGGTTGATGCATCCGTCACTCCCATACGTGGGCCTCAAGTTCCAGTGAAGCCACAGTAGCTTCACTGTGCATGTGGTGAAACAGTGAAAAATCCTCCCGCAATTGGTAGCGCCCTTTTGTCTTCAGTGCTCCCAGGTTGTTTCTCTTTGATTAGCATCTCTCTATCAGACAAGGTGCAGTGTGGGTAATATGGTTTCAGCTTCCAAGTGACAATCATATTTTAGTGCTAACCGTCATTTCCCTCCACAGGAGTGACACAGGTTGATCCGCCTGGAGAGCCCCAGATCCCACGTCACACAGTGATGGACGATGTTCCGGGTGCTTCAGACTTCACCGGGAAAGGATGACCTCACTCCTAGCTTGTGTGACCACCTTTCCTTGACTAAACAACAGGCTTCGTCGATTTAGCTGTGCCTTTATTATTTAGCTGTACCTTTACTTTTCATGGTTTGGAAGTTGGCTCTTGTCAGACAATTTGTTAATTTGGTTTTGCTATACTGCTGCATTTGTTTCAGCATTGTTTTGTTCTTGGTGGTGTGATATCATCATCATATTAAATCCTGGAAGGCAATGTCTGTATTCAGTGGGGGCTACAGTAGGGCAGAGACAACAGAGGGAGGGGAGAGGAAAATAAACAGAAACACTGTTAGGGTGTGAAGCCCATACACAGGTGAGAAAGATTTCTCAGACAGTGATTCAGGAGGGAAGGTAGGCAGGCACGGAGGGAGGGAGGGAAAGGAAGGGAGAGGAGGGAGAGAAGGAGGGAGAGAAAGAAGGAAGGGAGAGAAGGAGAGAGAGAGAATGGCCAGGTCACACAGGGACAGGAGTGACAGTGCTGGGTGAGGAAAAGCAGCTGGCATTTTGAAGGGAAAGACGGCTTTTTCCCCTCTGCTTTAGCAGAGTGGTAGCAGGAGCAGCTGTGGAGTGGTGGTGTTTGCTTTTTCTATTTTTTTTTTCCTTTTCTCTGTGAAGCCAGCTTATCTGAGTCCTTGAAATGTGTTTCTTGCAGGAGCTGAGGCAGAGAGTTGGAGCAGGAAGATTGTACCCCTACTGTCCGCTTCGGGCTCTTCAAGGCTGAGAAAACGAAGTCTTAGAGAGAATGAGTTAGACCACAGGTGTTTTAATTAAAACAAAGTGGGTGGTTGGTTGGTTTTTTTTCCAAAGGGGCAATTATGTGCTGTGAGTTTGTTTCTCTTACATTTGATAGTTCATCTGCTAGATAGGTTATTAGTAAAACCACCTTTCAAAAACCCAGCATACTAATCATGGCCTTCTACCTGCCCACCAACAAACTTACTTATATTAAGTGAGCCATACACAATTAAAAACACTTTTATCCCAACCCACGGAACATTTGGTGCCTATTCAGACTTAAGCTTGAGTTCTGGGGGCAGATCCAGTGGGAATAGTTCTGGGTCTGCTTCCTGGAGTTTTCACACATCTTGAATTCCCACTAGAGTGTCCACCTTGGTGTTTCCCACCTACTAATCAAATCTACCTTTGCTTACGGTGTTACTCCGAGAAATAATTTTAGTATGAGTTCTTGATCTCCTATCATCTGGGTAGTAATGGAGGTTTTATTATTATTTTTCTTGGCTCGTCATGTTTTTGAGGTCACAGAAATCTTTGCATCATCCTGTGTGGACATTGTCTCTTGGCAACTTTTATAAGAAACATACTTGTTACTTTCCATCTGCACCAGCAGGGTAGAGTTTACTTCCAAATATGTTTGTGTATTTTTATGTCAAGTCTGAATCCTGTAGGCTGTAAAGTACCCAAACTTTTTTTTTAAATACTGGCAATGATCTTTCTTTATTTTTTCTTTAAGTAGGGAGTTCTCCCTCTTTGTACAATTTTTTTTTATTTCGGCATATTATGGGGTTCAGATTTTAAAGTTTCAATAAATGCCCGTTCCCCCCCCCTCCCCCCACAAGTCTGAGTCTCCAGCATGACCATCCCCCAGATGGTGCACGTCTCACTCAGTATGTATGTATATACCCGCCCCCTCCTCCCCCCGCTGTATCTGTGTCCCTGTGGTTTGCACAGCATTCGCTTCCTGCCGGGTAGCTTCCCTCTGCATTTTTGTGAGAGGTCGCTCTTACTGACTTTTTGGTAACTTTCTTCAAGGAGTGCAAGGTAAAGAAATGCAAAAATGTGTGCCACATTCCTCAAGGAATTACATGTATTTTTTGGAAAAAAATATTGTTCACTTGCATTCCTCTAACTTTTTGGTTAGAAAAGTCTTGGCCTGAGGAAAAGGTGCCTTTTGGACTAGTCTTGCCCATCCTTTGCTTTTCCAGGGGTGCTGCTCCCCGCACAGGGCCCAGGCTTTCTCAGGCCCCTGGGACTGAGGTTGGCAAGGGTGGGCCAGCTTTGGGGACAGAGGAAAGGAAGAAAAGAAACAGAAAATGCATCTTTTTGCCAACTCACTCTTTCTTCGGCTCATCCCCCATCTTGTATTTGGATCCTGAGCGGTAGTGCAAGCTAAAATGAAGCGACGCATACACAGCGAGCCTCTCCTGGAGGGCAGGGTCGAGAGTGGGTAGGAAGGGGATGTTTCTCCACCTGCCCTCACCGGGCCCCTGCCCACGCCGTGCAGGCGGGCCAGAGTGCCTCGCACTGCTCTCACATCAGCTGAGAAGTGGTGTGTCTTGCTTCCATCTTTTAGCTGATAATTCTTGAGATGTAGACTGATGTTGACAGGAGCAGCTCCTCGCCGTGTGTTGGAAGGCAGGATTCCTCTTAACTGGGCTGTTCAAAGCACAGCCGAAAAGGAAAATGCTGTTAGTAACAGCCCACTTGAATTTAATGGCCATAAATTACAAGTAATTAAGTACCTGCCCAAAGCAGACAATTATGCTTCCAAAAAATTAACTTTATAATTTTTGTTTCCACCAAATTGACTAGTTGACAGCTATTTTGGTGTCATATGAATTTGCTGAACATCATTGAACAAAATGGTATTCTTTTGTCATTAGCAGTTAAATACTAACATCTACGAGAAAATCTTGAGACCAGCACATTATAATCTTATAACAGTTGGGACATTTTGATACTTTTGCAACTTCCTTTTTAAAAATGAGGTGGCAGAAGCCACCCTACAACAGAGTCTGTGAGGAGACTGGCACTCCTGGGTCTCTGAGGCACCATCTTGGAATGGCCCTGCGAGGGCGTGCGGGTGGCAGGCCTGGGCAGGGCAGGCCGGGCTGTGATGTGTGCAGCAGCAGCTGTGGGGGCCATGAGGTGCTGCGAGGGACTCAGCAGCGGCACTCCCAGCAGCTAGAGAATGCAGGCCTTGGCCTTGAGGGGAGGTCCACCACAGCAGTTATTAACTCACTTATTGTCTCCTCCTCTTGAGTATGGATTGTAAGAAAAAGAAGGAAAAGGCTGGGCCCAGTGGCTGATGCCTGTAATCCTAGCACTGTGGGAGGCCGAGGCAGGAGGATCGCTTGAGGCCAGGACCAGCCTGAGCTAGAGCAAGACCTCACCTCTACAAAAAATAGAAAAGTTAGCTGGTTAGTCATGGCGCATGCTTGTAGTCCCAGCTACTTGGAAGGCTGAGGCAGGAGGATCGCTTTAGCCCAGGAGTTTGAGGTTGCAGCGAGCTGTGATTATGCTACTTCACTCCATCCTGGACAGCAGAGCAAGGCCCTGTCTCAAAAATAAAAAGGAAAGGCATAATCCAGATGGTTGCCAGAGCCTGTCTCCCACTGAGGACTTGAGAAGGGTTCATCGTAACCACCTCCACTCAGTGAATAGAACTCATCTCTCAGACCCTCCTGCTTTCACCTGGACAGATACTTTCCATATTGTTTTTCACAAAGTTATCTTTTTATTTCTTCAGTCATTCAACAAACATTTATTAGCCCCCATCATGTGTCAGGTACTGTTCTAGACACTGGGGATACGACCACAGTGAACAAAGCAAACATCCTTGCTCTCCTGGAGTGCTAGAGATTTATTTGGAGGAACGGGTTCATGCGGTTGTGAGGACTCACAAGTCTGAAATCCGCAGGGCAGGCCAGCAGGCTGGAGACCCAAGCAGGAGTTGATGCTGCAGAATTTCTTCCGTTTTCCACGTTTTTTAAATGACAGTTTTATTTGTGGTCTTGCTGAGTCCAGAATAAGAAATTATGGTTTTTGGCCGGGCGCTGTGGCTCACGCCTGTAATCCTAGCTCTTGGGAGGCCGAGGCGGGCGGATTGCTCAAGGTCAGGAGTTCAAAACCAGCCTGAGCAAGAGCGAGACCCCGTCTCTACTATAAATAGAAAGAAATTAATTGGCCAACTGATATATATATAAAAAATTAGCCGGGCATGGTGGCGCATGCCTGTAGTCCCAGCTACCCGGGAGGCTGAGGCAGAAGGATCACTCGAGCCCAGGAGTTTGAGGTTGGCTGTGAGCTAGGCTGACGCCACGGCACTCACTCTAGCCTGGGCAACAAAGCGAGACTCTGTCTCAAAAAAAAAAAAAAAAAAAAAAGAAATTATGGTTTTAACAGTTTATTCAAACCTTGTTCTCATGAGCCCTTGAAGAGAGTTGAGTGCATTTTTTTTTCTCTAGGAAAGATACTTTTGACATATTAAATTAAACCTCAAAATAGTCTCTGGAAGAGAAAAAGAAAGTGAAAAAAAAGTGTTGGTGATTCAGAACTTCAGCAGATTATATTGCCACAGTCTTACACAAAGGGAGATATCTGGCAGATACTTAATTACTTTTTTAATGCTTTGAAATTTTCTGGTTCTCAGAGGCTTATTTTGAAGAAAAAAATTTAATTAAGAACAAAACAGAATCAGTTTAATAAGTGAATTGCTGTTAACACTTGTCTTCTCTCTTTATAAACAACAGAGAACACATATTGGTTTTTCAGAAACTTTAATGTGATAAATAAAACCTATAAAATAACCTAATCTAATCTGCATTTAATACCTCCTTTAACAATAATCCTTTGTATTAGTTTGCACATAAGAAATAGCTTTATCCTAAAATTATTGAAATAGTCAAGCCAGTTGTTTAATAAAAGGATATTTGACAAGAAACTGTAGGGAGGAAAAGTAATTGTTTGTCCTCTGCCCATCTTAGGTCCATTGGCTGGGCCCTGCAAATGTGACTGACAAAAGACAGATTAGCAAGAGTAAAACAAGCAGAAGTTTATTAACATGCACATCTTGCTTACACATGGGAGCAGCCAGACACAAGTAACTCAAAAGTGTGGTTAGAACTACAGCTTATAAAGCATCTTAACAAAGAACAATAAATTTATAGAGAAATGACAAGACAAAGGAAAAAGACTTTGGGCTTCTAGGGCTGGCAAATTATAGGAAGGCAAATATATGAGGAAGCTAATGGACAGTAAGTGCTCGTTAGAAAGGTTTGTGTAGACTCATTCTTGGTGCCATCTCATCTCCAGCGATGAGGTTATTCCCTTCCATGGAAGGGCAGGGTCCTTTACAAAGGGAATTTTTATTTTGCTTTCAGGCAGAGAGAGGAGAGAGCGCATTTTGTGCCTGCTGTTCCTCAATTGCCTTCAGCTCAAAATAATCTCTTCCTTTCTCCTAATGCTCATAGCTGAAGTGGAATCAGTAACCAAACTCTGTGACCCAGGTTTGCATGCCCCACTGACTCATCAGAGAACTTTTTAGAAGTTGACATCTGTTACTCAAGACAGTGTGAATCCAAACACAGCTGATTTTTCTGGAGAAGGCAGAAGTTATTTTTAGTGTGAACCTTTTCCGTTTTTACCTGTCAGGAACTATGTTTTTTCAAATGTACAGTGCAGACCAGAGAAAACTAAGTGAGGGCTCCAATGTGCAGTCTCCTCTTCTTTCCTTCCCCCTGCCGCTAAAGTGGGACAGAAAGAGGGACCACTACCTGGGAAGCGCCACCCATCCACCAAGTCCCATCAAGCTCAGAGAAAGGGTCCCTGTCCCCAGCTCATCTGGGAAACCGATGACATGGATGAAGATTCTAACTATACTGCTGGCAAGACTCATAACAGATTTCCTTCCTTCCTTCTTTCCTTCCTTCCTTCCTTCCTTCCTTCCTTCCTTCCTTCCTTCCTTCCTTCCCTTCTTGCCTTCTTCCTCCTTCCTCCCTTCCCCTTCCTTCCTTCCTCCTCCTCCCTCCCTCCCTCCCTTCCTTCCTTCTTTCCTTCCTTCCTGCAGCATATCACTCTGTCTCCTAGCCTGGACTGCAACAGTATGGTCACCACTCACTGAAGCCTTGAACTCCTGAGCACAAGTGATCTTCCTGCCTTAGCCTCCCTGGTAGCTGGGACTATAGGTGCACAACTGCACACCCAGACAATTTTTATTATTTATTTATTTGGGGGGAGATAGAGATGGGGGTCTTGCTGTGTTGCCCAGGCTGGTCTCAAACTCCTGGCCTCCGGGGATCCTCTGGCCTCTGCTTCCCAAAGTGCTGGAATTAAAGGTGTGAGCCTCCACGCCTGATCTGTTTTCTTTATATAATTTTAGGTCATTGACTTAAACTTGAATTTCATGGAAGCTTTCTAAAGCGGTTCTTAAAATACCTCTGAAAACATGAAGTGCGCGAAGGCCCCAGCGCCCCGCCGAGAGTCTGCGCGCGCACCTGCCCCGGGAGCGCCGGCGGGGCGCCCCGCACCACAGAGAGGACGCGGCCCCTTGGGGAGCCCCGCCGTGTGCCCTCTCTCTCCTCACTCCTCCACAGGCATCGGAGGGTTCCGCTCCGCGGTCCGCCCGGGGCATAGAGGAAACCAGAAGTGCGCGGCTGCCCGTGGCTCGGAGGCCGCATAAAGGGAGGCGTGGCCCTCACCTCCCCTGCGCCCGCGCGGGCGCACACACAGGGCGCACGGGCGCGTGGAGATGGCCCCGGCGTGGCTGTATCCGCCACCGGCCTGTGCATCGCGGTGGCGACGGAGCCTGTCTCCCGCTGTCGCTGCGACCAGTCTGTCCCCAGCTCCGCGGGGCGCCCGCCGCCCTCGCTCTTCCCGGCGGGAGCCCGAGCCGCAGCGCGGGAAGCAAAGGCGATGCCCGCCGGGTGCCACCGTGTGGTGACAGCCGGAAGCTGAGAACTAAAACTAAATGTTAGGAAGTTTTGTTCTCCTCTCCCCGCACTCAGAAAAACCTGCAAGTGCTTTTTCAGCATGTGCATTGAACTGGAAGACTCCCACTGATTTCAAGAGTAACCCATCAGAATGACGGGAAAGAGGTGCAATGGATCAAGGCCATCTCACATTCTTTATCCTTGATAAACACTTGTTCATTTGTCGAGTATATGATCTAATTTTACTTTCTACCCAGATAAGTCACCACACGTCACCATCACATAAGTTCTGATCATATCATCTTTTCAGCATTGATTTGGTAGAAGGTCTCCCTGGACGAAAATGTTTAGCTTGTCAGGAAATGAGCACATTCATATTTAATTGTTGCATAAGTGCTTTAAGCTCTTTGCTGCTACTACAAATCCCTCCAGCATCACAGAGCAAATATCCTGGAATAAGACTAATTCTTCTCATGCCATGTTGCTGTGGAAGTTGGTATTTAAGGCTGCTATATATGCTTTGGGAGCCTCACTCAGGACTTTGTAAAGACAAATGTCAGCATAATTTGCATCTGCCACCAGAGGCATGTATGAGTCTGGCCTTGGGAGTGTCCCATCAGCTGGGCCATTGGCTGGAAGAGCCAGAACTAGGCAGAAATCTCCCCTTCACATCACCAAGCAAATTTGAAGATGAACTTGTGAGTCCTGTTAGGAAAATATCCTTTTTAGTTTAAAAGACCATGTAAGTTTATATGGCAGAGACATTAAAAATAATTAAAATTCTTATTTTCCTCATCTCTTTACAATATTTCAAGGCACTCCTTCTAATGATTTTCTACTCAAGCCTGCAATGACATTTCTGTGCACAATAAGGTGACATGGGCATTATTCAAAGGACATTATTATTGCTGGATTTGGGATTTTCAAAAATTCAGCAAATAGCTTATATTGGAGTGTTTTAATGAATAGTTTTAATGGGGTCGCAACAGAACAGAAACTGTTTTCAAAGCAAAGAGCAAATCAATGTATAATATAATGCAGATGGTTCTCAGAGACACGATGACAGGATATCAGTTTCTATGCCTCGTATTCCTTGCAATTTTGTGATTTATGCTAAGAAATATATATCTGGTCTTTGTCCTTGTTTCCTGGCACTCAGCTCCTAAATCCCTAGGAATCTCCAAAATGATGTGCCTTTTTGTATGCGAATGAAATGAACAAGGGCTGAGAGTGCCTAGAAAGCCTAGGATGGGCTGGTCACTAGAGGAAGTAAATATAGTTCGGTGCTACCCACCCCCACCTCCAAGGAGGGGGAAGGGGCTGAAGGATGAGTTGATCACCCATGCCAGCGATGTGTCAATTATGCCTATTTAATGAAGCCTCTATAAAAACTCAAAAGGACAGGGTTTGGAGAGCTTCCAGGTTGTTGAGCACATGAATGTGCCCAGAGGGTGAGGCGCCCAGAGAAAGCATGGAAGCTCTGCACCCCTTCCCACATGCCTTGCCCTATGTATCTCATCCATCTAGCTATTCATGTGTACCCTTTGAAATATCCTTTATAATAAATGGGCACGTGTAAGTAAAGTGTTTCCCTAAGTTCTGTGAGCCATTCTAGCAAATTATTGAACTCGAGGAGGAGGTCATGGAGACTTCAATTTATAAGTTTGTCAGAAGTGGGGGTCACAGCCTGGGACGTGTACTTGGCATCTGAAGTGGGAGGCAGTCTCATGGGACTGCAACCTTAACCTGTGGGATCTGGCTCTAACTCCAGACAGACAGAATTGAACTGAACTATAAGACACCCTGCTGCTTTCTGCGGGAGAATTGCTCGCTGTGTGGGGAACACCCTCCTCCCCAACACCTACTCACAGAAGAGTTCTGTGCTGTGTTGAGTGTGAGAGAAGGAAAATAGTTTGGTTTTCTTCTATCTCATAAATTTCTGTAATGGAAACTGTAAATTACATACTTTTTGTTTGACTATTTATTAATAAATGTCAGTTAATAGAATCAAAGAAAGACCAATAGATGTAACAGGGGCAGAATTTCAAGAAACAGTTTAAAAATTATTGCCTGGTTTCTTCTGGTTCCATGGGCTCTTCAAAATCGATCTTTTGGAAGATTTCCTATTATAATAATTTCTTATTTAATTTGGCTTCTTTTTGATTAAAAAAAGTTTAAACAACATATTTATAGATTTTTCTTTGAATCTATTAGTTTTTTCTTACTAAAATCGTTGGAACTTATTTTTAACCTCCTCAAGGCACATGAGGATAACTCCTATATCACCTTCCATTTACAAAAGCCAAAACATGTGAACTTGAATTTGATATTCAGTATAGTGGTTGCTTATTTAAAAAAATTAAAAACCTAGGACTATTATGACAGTCAGTATTCATTTGAAGAGTGTGAATTTCCAGAAGCTACCCATTTAGTTTGCCTCAGTTCCCAGGGGATGTGAGAGTGGGCTCCGCCAGGGCTCTGGCCGCCGCCTCACCCCTGCCCCGAGGAGCAAGTGGTGCGTGCACAGTCTCTGCTGTTATCCTGGCCTTCTAGGCCTCGCCTTGTCTTTGATTACTGTTAGCTGTGAATTGTCTCCTGAGCATTGCCAGAGACCATTCCCACTGCATTTTACAGAATCCCAGGAAAGTACCTCATGAAAATATAATTGATTTCCTCCAAAGAAAATATTCATATTAATAGTAAAATAATGCTAACTAATAAAATATAGAGAGACTCATTTTTATGAATAGTGACATTTCTCTGGCTTTCATTTCATAATCAAGAGTGCTATGGCTTGAATGTGTCCCCTAAATGCATGTTTTGGAAATTTAATTCCCAATTCAACAGTATTGGGAAGTGGAGTGTAATAGGTACCTGGGTCATGAGGGAAGAACCCTCATGTATGGATTAATGTTGTTATTAATGTAGGGATAAGGCAGAAAAATAAGGTCGAGAAAGCCTGAGTGCAGCCATTTTTACTGATACCAGACTGTGAGCAAGGAAGTCGTCAGCAAGTTGCCAGCCTGGGACCACCTGAGCACAGATGAATTACTAAGACGATGCCTGGAAAACTGTTTGAGCTCACCTTTTTGTGACAATAGTTTATGATTAACCTTTATGGCCTGACCACAAGACAGTGCTGGTCACATGCAGCTATTTCCCAGTGGGGTTTTCAAACATTTAAAAATATTACCATTGCTCCATAAGGGGTCCTCATCCCACTTGGAGCAGACCCCTGTTCTATCTGTGGAGTAGGATCTGTTTTCTGTCTCTCTAGATAAGCTCTCTGTTGCTAGTTGGCTCACTCTTGAAATCTTTCACACGTGAAGCCACAAACCCACTTGACAAGTTCAGGAGGCTTTTTCCTCTCTTCATTGGGACACCTGCTGCATCATTATCATGGGAGTGGGTTAGTTATCTTAAGAATGGGTTGTTATAAAAGTGAATTTATCCCACATGCTTTCTCTCTCTTATGCTTGCTTCCGCCTTCCACCCTTCAGCCATGGCATGATCTTCTCAGATGCAGGCATTATGCTCTTAGACTTCCCAGCCTCTGGAACTGTGAGCCAAATAAACTCTTTTTTTTTTTTTTCTTTCTTTGTAAGCCAGAGTCTCACTCTGTCACCCTGACTAGAATGCAGTGGTACCATCATAGCTCTCTGCAGCCTCAAACTCCTGGGCTCAAGCGATCCTCCTGCCTCAGCCTCCCAACTAGCTGGGAATATAGGCACACCACCATGATTGGCTAGTTTTTCTAATTTTTGTAGAAACAAGGTCTTGCTCTTGCTCAGGCTGGTCTCAAACTCCTCATCTCATGCGATTCTCCCACCTCAGCCTCCCAGAGTGCTAGGATTACAGGCATGAACCACCACACCCTGCTGACTCTTTTCTTTATTAATTACCCAGTCTGTGGAAAATATCATAGCAACAAAAAAACCAACTGAAACAAACAGCAATGCTGATAGAAGGCTGAGAAATATTGTGGTGATAATTCATGGAATATTTTATCTTATTGTAAGGATAAAGTAACAAAATAAACTTGCAGGTGTGGAAGGTGTGTGCTTTAGGATTTGGAGTTTAGACTATCATGGGGACAGGTATATACATACCTAATGGGTGTGGTGCGCACCATGTAGGGGATGGACACGCTTGAAGCTCTGACTCAGGTGGGGCAAAGGCAATATATGTAACCTAAACATTTGTACCCCTGTAATATGCTGAAATAAAAAAAAATTTAAATCTTGTTAAGGTGTCAGTTCTTCCCAACTGGATCTAAACTTTATATGCAAAAGCAAAAACATCCTGCATAGCCATACAATATTGAAGAAGAACAAAGTCAGAAGACTGACTCTACCTGACTTTGAGTTTTGCTATAAAGCCACAATAATCAAAATAGTGTGCTATTGGTGAAAGAATAGGCAAATAGATCAAAGAAACAGAATAGAGCACCCAGAAATAGACACATACAACTGTAGTCAACTGATCTTTGACAAAGGAGCAAAGGCAATTCACTGGAGAAAGAGAACAGTCTTTTTACCAAATGTTGCTGGAATAACTGGAGACCCATATGCAAAAAAAAATTAAAAAGAATCTTGACACTGACTTTACACCTTTCACAAAAATTAACTCAAATAATGGCATTGACCTAAATGTAAAACACAGAACTATGAAACTTGTAAAAGATAACATAAAGGAAAATCTA